ACCTTTACGGGATTTTAGACGCTTTGCCCATAACATCGCTCTTTCTTTTGGTTCATTGACTTAGAAATTTGGATTAGAAATAAAAACCTTCCCCAGTCGCTACTAACGACAACTGTTAATATCTGTCGTTTCGAAGTGATGGTTTGCGGGAAGGAAACGAGAGAAAAGACGGAAAAAAATTAAATTTGAAAATAAAACTTGTCCGCCTATAAATCTATTTTTATAATAGCAAATTTTTAATTTTTTTTAGCAGTGATTATAGATTGTTTATAAGTAAAACATTTTCAAAATTAATTTCTAAAATACTCTAATGATGATACATAGACAGTGATGAAAATAAATAAAAATACAAACTTTTTTATGGTTGTACTTTAAAGTTTAAATTTTCTCAAGTTTGCTCAAATTTGTAAGAATTTCAATTTTACCATAATTAAAATTAAAAAAAAATTAAAAAAGTCAAGAGTTTAAAATTTAAAGTCCTTATTATTTCATAAAAGTTTTATTTAAATATCACTCCCCGTGTACATGTATAAAAACCAAAGAATAAAAGAAACTAACATTATTATTTTCTTGTCAATTAGAAAAATTGACTCTAATCTTTAATGTTGAATTTGATTGATTTAGTTATTAGGTTGATCAATGTTATTTTACCAAATTTGCAAAATTAAAAAGATTTATTGACTCTAATTAAAAAGTTAGAGACTAAATTGATAACTTAAAATTAATAATAGAATAATTTACCTTTCAAATATAATCTACCATAAAATTTAAAGTTAAGTTTTCTAAAACAAAAAATTTAGGATAAAATTGAAATTTGTTAAAAGACTTTGTTTTTTTTTTTTTTTTTCTTTTGATTATCATTAATCCATTCATTTGAAAAGAGAGACGATTTTGATAATTTTTTCTAGGGGTGTCAAAATGGAACTACAATGTGAATACGATTCGCCTAACACGCAAAATAAACACGTTAGAATTGAGGTTAAATGGGTTTATGTCATAAACGGTTCACCCGTTTATGACACGAGTATAAACGTGTCGTGTTACAGATTGATATATGGGTTAAGCGAATGACCGTTTATTTAAGAGTAAAGAGACAATTTTAGTATCAAATATAAATATTTCAACTAAATCCTATTTAAACTTTATTGTCGTATTACTTTTTTTTTTATTTTAGTCATGAATCTCGAAAAATGTATGTATTTTATGTATGAAAAATTATAATTAAATATGATTTGAGCTAAACATGTTAAAATTTAAAAATATTATAAGCAGGTTAAATGAGTCATATACAGGTCAATACGATTCATTTAACATGTTTATGATATTATGCGGGTTACGCGTGTCGTGTTTGTGTCACCTGTATAATTTTCATGTCGTATTCGTGTTGATAAATTTGATACGATTATTAAATGAATCACGTTCTTGTTGACTCTAATCGTATCGCGTGTTAGGTGAATCCGTGTCAAACCCTACGCGTGAATCCATTTTGACACCCCTATAATTTCTTCCTCGACATAGAGTTCTTCTTAAAACAATGCCAGTTTGCAATATGGAAACACCAAGATAAAAGAATTTGAGGACATGAATTCTGCTGTCGGACTTCTATCAATTATGAGAAACTTACCGTTTTCTTGGAAATACAGAGTTCTTTTTATTTTTTTATTTTTAGATAACATTACTCAATTGAACAAGTATACCATTCTGTATATTAATATTATACTATGAACAACAATAATCATCCTGGTACACCAAATGTAACTAAATTAATAATATATAATAAATAGCAAATTTTAAGGAAATACAATGTTGTTATGTTGATGGGCAGGCCAATAAATCCCTTCCCTTTGACATGGTAGAGGAGCTGGTTGTGCAATGTAAGTAGGATATTGCTGTCCTGGCATCACTACTGAAAAATCAGATGCATATGATGTTGCCACCTGTCACCAAGTCCCCTCTTTGATTAACCCAAATAAACCTTACTTTATACAATTAAAATGCTAAAGAAATGAACCATTGAGCCTTGGTTTAGGTTTAGTAGTTGTCAAATTTTAAGGTATCGGATTCAATTGTATGGATTCAAATTTCTTATCGAATTACTTTTAGTTTATTGGACCTATTTGTTGAATTGAAATATAAATTCCAAAAAGAAAAAAAAAAGGTCAAGAAATGAGAAAATGCAAGACTTACCGTTTGTGGATTTCCAAGTTTGTCTACTAGTCCTGATTCGAGAGACCTGTTAGTGACTTCTTGAGGAGAAGAAAAAGAAGGATTTGGTCTAAAGAGATGTTCAAAAATGGCCATTATGAGGAACATTGATATTAATATAGCTGTTGCAACAAATCCAAATGCAATTGCATTCATTGATGTTCCAAAACTTTTCCATGGAGCTTCCTTATCTATCACTGCAGTCTCCGACGGCGTAGGATCTGAACTTGTATATATATTCCATGCCTTTGATCTTTCTGAACCAAAATCATTCATACTCCTTTCTTCTTCTTTTCAATCCAATGAACTTTTCTGACACTTGCTTGCTGTAATATATTCACCTTCTCATTTGTGAATTGCCAATTGCCCTGAAAAGAGAGCGACTATCCAATTTAAAGTTTTGAATTATGAACATTAGATGCATTATAAGAACAAAATATGCCCGCAAAAATTGCATCAGCAGACAAGATTGCAGAAGAACAGATGTTTTATCTTATTCAAATAATATTTGTCTGAAGGAAACTAAATTTCCCGACAAAGATCCAACTTTGGCCATTTTCGACGAAAATTATGCTACTTGGAATATTAATGTGAGCTCTATAGCTTCAAATAATTCCCAGCTCTAGTCTTAATTCAAAAAATCAAGCAAGAACCTTCTCTTTTAAACCAAAAAATGGACTTCAAAAGCAGAATGTGAGGAAGTATCACTAGATTTCGAAAAATCGAGTTTAAGGGAAAACGAAATAAACAGAAATCTAAAATCAACTTACAGAAAAAGAAAGAAAAAGAATTGCAGAACTTCTAACTCATAATGCAGCCCTACTTGTTCTTGTTTAGTGGATGGTGAGTGAAATGCTGCGTTATGATATATCACAGCTATATATAAAACAAAATAAATAAATAAATAACCCACCTTAGTTATCAGTAGTAGTTGGAAGGCATATTGTCTTGGTCCTGAGAATTAGGAGCACACACTAATCTAAATGTTTAGAACCTATAAGCTTAGCTGCCATGGAAAAACAAGACACTCACACACACTTCTCAAAGAATAATTTAAAAAAAAGAAAACCATGTAGGTGAGACCCAAATAGCTATCTTTATACCCAAATAGAAAATGTAAAGACAAAGTTATATGATAATCCTAAGAGTAGTATATTGTATTTATCATGTTCTTGATGCCTAACTTAATGGATACTATACCTTGTCTGAACAAAGCATACTTAAAGGAAATCAAAAGCATGGCCCTTCATGTCTCTAGAGCTAAAAACAAAGTGGGTGCTTTAAAAAGGAGTCGCCTTTTTTATATCCTTAGTTAAATTAAGACATCAAGAAAAAAAAAAAAAAAAAAAAAAAAAAAAAACATCAAGAAAAAAAAAAAAAAAAAAAAACAAAAAAAAAGACAAAGAAAAGAAGTTGTTTAACCCTAAAAAAAAAAAAAAAAAAAAAAAAAAAAGAAAAGAAAAGAGTTGTTAACCCTAATTAAAACCCACCTTCCATTAACCTTCATTAACCCATTTGGTTATCTGATTAGACTCTGCAGAGTTTAATTATGAACAAACAAATAATTATATGCACTATACTGATAAAATTTCACATGATAAATGATTATAACTATCATCAAGTAAGTAAGTCATAATATAAAATTATAGAAGGGGAGAAAAAAAACACATGGGTTAGGCACAAAAAATTAAAATTAATAAGTTATTACAGGAATAATAAGATAATTACCTTGTGGATTTAAAAGGTTAAAGGTCAACTGTGATGGCATGTCATTAATTAAAGCATAACCCTAATTCAATTCCAACATAACTATTGAGAGGTCATCATGGGAAAAGGTTGCCAATATCTCATATAATCTCCAAACATAATCTCCCACTGAATGAAAAGAAAGAAAAAAGTAAATAAATACATAAAAGCTGCTACAGAAAACTATAGCTTGAATAAAAATTACTTATAGGCATGTGAATAAAGAATTTAAAGAACCATAAAAGAATTACAATTTGATGGGGAAAATAAAAATAGAATAGATAGAAAGAAAGAAGAAGAGAGATAGAGAGAATCAATGTTTGGTACCTTACAGCTATGCAGTACCAAACTGCCATGATTCAAGAGAAGAAAGAAAATGGGTGATGAGTTGCCAAATAGAATATAGGGAGAGCTAAGGAAAAAGAAGATGATGTGTAGACCACATTTAATTTATTCCCACAATTTTTTTTTTTCATGAAAATAAAAATTAAATAACCTGTTGAGAGCAACCCATTACTTTTGTCAGAAAAACCTGCTAAAGCCATATATTGGCTAATGGCTCTATCATTTTAAAAATCCCATCTTTTAACAAAAAACATGAAAACATTCCAGCAAAAATGGATTTTTTAGAAAAATATTTTAATAAATTTCACATATTTATCATTTGTAAATATATTATTTTGGATTTCAATTTCAAATTTATTTATTATCTATCTGCCCACCCACTAGCCTACACAGATTATTACAGAACTAAGAATCCTCTGCTAGAAAGATGAAATTATTCCACAGGAGAATGAAAGAAAAATAGTACTAATAAATTATTAAAAGAGACAAGAAAGAGAAAAGAGGGAAGAGCCTCTTTTACCTACAAAAAAACAATTGAATGGGTCTCCTTTGTCAACAAGACAATCACCTTGTCTGAGAATGACATGAAAGCCTATCTATACCTATAACCCATCAAAATCCTCAAATTTGAAAGAATGCATCATTTACATTCCTTTGATTTTGCAAACAAAAAACAACATTTCTATATATTTATTGAATAAAACATTTCTTTACCATATCTAATCCAAGATTTTTAAGATTTAAGAAAAAGATAATCATTGATTGATCACCCACTTCTATATTAACCAAGAAAATTACATTTTTTTCTTTTTCTTTTTTTTTTTTGAAGGACAAAAAGAAAAAAAAAGATTCTAAAATGAAAATTGAAGGACTATCAAAAACAGCAAGAATGATATTTGATCTTGTTTTATTAAGCAAAAATTAGATTTCTGATGCAGAAAGGTCATTTCAAATGTAGATTAATTTGCTTGACATTTCCATATAAGACATTTTGCAAAAGAGAAAAGGGTCCCATGAAATGAAAGCACTCTAAAGCAGAAGTTGAAAATAGATTGAAGCATATATTTCCCTCCTTTTCTTTTGTCTGCCTTTGATCTCTCTCTCTTTTTTTTTTTCAAACCAAAATCTCCATCTTAAGCAAACCCATTATTGCTTTTCCAACAATTCACCAACAAATGTTCTTAGATATTCTACTAAGTGAGAGGTTACATCAATAAAATACATATTTCAATTGGAAAAAAATTAGATTAGGTTTATGGTCCCTCAAACCAATGAAATTAAAATTTTTTATTGAAACGAGATATTGCGTACTATATACTTGAAAAAAAGATACGGTCAAACACTTTTTAAAAAATCTTTAATTTCATTTATTTGATCTATAAATAGAGTCATGGATCCGATTTTCGCAAATAACTGTAACTTAAAAAGAGTAATGACTCAAATGATAGGACACGTTTAAATTTAATAGTAGATGACTTTGGTGAAATTATATGTTGAATTTGTGAAAAAAAAATACTTATGAGAATTGGGAAGAAACAACTACGAACCTTAGAACAATGTTAGTTTTATATTAAAAAAATTTGTGAGAATACCCATTGTAAAATTAAAGAAAAAAATCTTATAAATGAAGATACCTTTGATGATAAATGTAGCTACATCATATGTTATTTTATTTATTTCATGGACATGGTTTACTTTTCCTTCTTTGGCTCATTCACAAGTGACATCCCACTTTCTTCATGTGACTCTCACACTCACACGTGTATGAATGATGCATTGGCTGTTTAGTGCAAAGAAATAATAATAATAAGCATAAGATGAGTTATACATGTGCTTATCATTCACTTTCTAACCTCTAAAAATAAGTTTTTGTTGGTTATAATTGTTTATCAAATACCTAAAAAATTGAGAGTTATATTCTTCTGTACTACTTTTTAATTGTTTTCATAAAGCATAAAATGATTTTTTTTTTTTTTTTTTTTTTTGGTTTTGCTTGGTTATAATAACACTTGTTTTATCAAATAACCAAAAAATTGAGAGTTTATATTCTTCTGTCACTACTTTTTTATTTAGATATTTCATAAAAGCATAAAATGATTTTTTTTTTTTTTTTTTTTTTGAAATTTGGAGATGGAATGTTAGAAAGGAGCATGTAACCAAAAAAAAAAAAAAAAAAAAAAAAAAAGATGTCAAAGGAAAATGTCTTAAAACCCAATTATTCCTATTAAATTAAAAATCAATTCCTTTTTAATATTGTTTTTGGCTAAACATTTCTGGTGAACCTTATTTCTCATGGGTATGATAATTTAATACTGACTGCCATAATGCGCTTTATTCATATTTTCATTTAGAGTTTTCAATTTCATCAAATTATAAAAGGATTAGCTTATCCATCCTTACAATATTTCTTTTTTGTGTTTTTTTTTTTTTTTTTTTTTTTTTAAATTAGGGTTTTTATTGGATGGGTCAGGTAAAGTTTAGTAGATTTTTTTTTTTTTTTTTTTTTTTTTTTAAATTAGGGTTTATGTGGATGGGTCAGGTAAAGTTTAGTAGATTTAGGTAAGGTAATAAGAGAGGAGCAAAAATTTGAGGATATATAAGTAGAAATGAGAATAGGAAACTCCACTTATATCATATAACCATCAAGAAGATGCTCAAAAGAATACAAAGAATAAGAATATCTGGCTAATAGTATTCTTAATAGACATGATCGACTGATAGGTTCTGAGAAAGAAAAGGCCAATAAGCAAAGCTATTTACTCCTCAAACTCTGAAAAACTCCCATTGAAGAAACAAAGCTTTGAAATAAAGTGAACAGAAAATTAAGTAACATATGAAATTTTATGATTTTACATTTAAAGATTATCTTGAAGTCAATTCATAGTTATTTTTAAGACTCCATCAAAATCATTGAGAAACACAGAGGATTGTTCGTCTGAAGAAAGAAACGTTTCGTTTTGTTCATAAATCTTTTCAACGTTTCCTCACGCTACAACAAATGATATGAACTTTGTCAGAAGACCTGCAAAAGAAATGAGATCAATCCAGTGGCTTTTCTCTCTTTTGAATTAAACCAGTCCAGCGACATGAACCAAAATGATTATAGCTTTATAACTTAGTTACAAGTTGGTTTTCCTTCTCTATGCAAAAGGAGAACAAATCTGTTCTACACACGTCAGTTTATCAGAGGAACTTATTTATTATTCAATAATTTTAAAATAATAAGACAAAAAGTGAATCTTCAATCACACGTACAAGTTTTTTTGCAATTTACCATTGAATGACAAAAATTTGTTCGTTTCACAAATTGATTATAATCCATTTGCCTAAATATCTGCAAATGTATGGTTACTGTCAATTTCACAATAACATGCACATTGATTACAGTAAAATAATTTCATGATAAATACCAAAAATTTCACATGTTCAACAATAACTGAAGCAAAAAAATTCCAGAAACCAACAAAAATAAGAACACTTGCATGAGATGATAGTATTAAAAATTGAAACTCAACAAGTAATGAAGTTCATTTCTTTTATGATTCAAAATCATGCCTTCAAGCGACCGAAGAACTTGGCCTTCTCTTGTGTCGTCTGGAATCTGCCATGCCCAAACTTGGAGGATGTATCAATAAACTTGATCTTGATCTCCTCCAAAGCAACCCTAGATGTCTGAGTCAACAACGATTGTCTCAAGGTCACAACTCGCTTCTTTGGACCCAGGCAGCATCCCTTTATCATCAAATAATCTTCCTTCACAACACCATAGTGGGGGAATGCTCCAATTGGTGTGATATCCTTCTCAGTCCTGTTATTTACAAAAGATATAAGCAAATTGAGGGGAAAAAAAATACAAAAAGCCAAAATGTTTAAAAGGATTCACCTGTCATATTCAGTCATTGCAGAATGAGACTCCCGACCAGACTTCCCAAGCTTGTAGATTTTTTTGTTCATCTCAGTACGGTGATGATAACCATTTTGTCCAGCCCTAGCAACGGTAAATGACACCCTAGCAGGATGCCATGCGCCAATACAGGCCACCTTCCTAAGACCACGATGGGTCTTACGAGGGAGCCGGGTGACACCCCAACGTGTAACCACACCTTCATAACCCTTTCCCTTGGTCACACCAATCACGTCAATCATCTCATCCTTTTGGAAAACAGCATCAATTGGAATCTGCTTCTCAAAGAAACTGTAGGCAAAGTCCACCTTCTTAGATACATCCCCACCATTCACCTGAATCTCCATCAGATGTGCTTTCTTCTGCTTCAGTCCTTTCATCTTCCTAATCTGCAGATATCATACAATGAAATTCAGTACCAGCTTCAGAGTAGGAATCTGATCACCTGAGCCTCGACAAAACCATACTTGGTCATCAGCATTAATGACAATTATGGACTAAATTTGAGAATAGAAACAAGTCCCACAAACCGTGTAACCTCAATTGCACACCACAAATCAAAAGATAACTCAAAGGACCAAAGTTGAATTAGAGCCTAAAAAATTATTCCCAAAGAGAATACCTGTGTGTGTGCCAAGACACGAATGACAGAACAGTACTTCTTCATTTTCTCCAATTGTGCTTGAATATCTTTCTTTCCATCTTCAGATTCATACCTCTTAGAGTACTTGGTGAATGCCTTCTTTTTGGACTTGCACCAGTTCTTATAAAACCTCCTCTTCACATCCTCACTCAAATGCTGGGCCCAGACAGTGTTCAATGATCGGAGACCACGGGGTGTTTTCACATAACCCACAACCCCAACAACCATCATAGGTGGTGTCTCAACAATGGTAACAGCTTCACATGTTTCTTTCTTGTGGAGCTCTGTCATTCAGAGAAGAAATTACAAAATTTAATAAAGTGCACAGGAAAAAAAGATACAACATAATACTGTATTATAAAACAACTGAAGAGTAAACTGAACTAGATTCAGAAAGAAACTAAAGTTAGACGTATATAATTCTTACAAAAATATGAAATGCCTCCAATTCAGTTTACTTTTGACTTGTTAAACATAGCTTGCTACTGAGAATGGGAAAAGGCACAAAAAAAAAAAAAAGAGAAGGCATGACTCACTTGACCCTGGCTTCTCAACTTCTCTCACAATATGGGTCATCCCAGCTTTGTAACCCATAAAAGCAGTCAATCTGCATGGTTTTGTTGGATCATCTTTGGGAAAAGCCTTCACTGAAAACATCACAAAGAGAGTACATGTAAAAACCTCAGGCAATAGTCACCAAAATATGACTTGCACGGCATAAGAACCAATCAATTCAAATACAAGTCAAGCACGTACAGATATTACTGGTGCCAACAAGCTACAGCTAGCAATTAGTGTTAGTTAAGTACAAGCTAACACACAGGCCAATCAACGCTGAAGTGACCAGAGCATGTGCATCACATTTTATGGTATTACAAGTACGTTGACAAAAAAGAAGACAACCACACAAATCATACTATAAAACAGCTAATGTATTAGAAAATTTGAGAAAGTAAATGCAACACTCAGACCAGAATGCAGGATTTCGCCAACTCAATATTACGCATAAAATTTGTCTGAACTCAGGTAAACTCTTTCTGAAAGGAGTATGCTTGTAAGAAATACATGGAATGCATTTTAGGACTCTGTGTCCAGAGTTCAGAAGTTCCAATTTATTGTTTAACAGTAATGTAAAAGACAATACAATTAAAGGCTAAAAACTGAAAGCAACAAATTACAACAACATTAAAAAGATTATATAACAATCTCACACAATTACAGTAAAAGTGTCACCATCAACGATTTATGAACTTCTATAGTAAAAAGATAAAAAGATGCAATAGAAACCTTTTCCTCTGTGACGCGAGGCTCTCTTTCTTGGGAGAAATCCCAAAGAGCCATGTCGGGGGTGCTCAAACTTGCGATGAGACATCCTTCAAACTCAGTGATAGCACTGCAAGACTAAGTAGCTTAATTTATTTTTCCTTGAAAAAATTAAAATTCACAAAAATAGTAACGACATCGTTCAATTAATAATTAGTTTATGAGCATACATGGAACCAAAGAAAACAGTGAAAAAATTAAAATAAAATCATATCAATAAAAATAAAGATGTGAATAAAAAAACATTAAATTCGATTAGGAATAAATTTTTTTTAAAAAAAAAAGGAAAGAAAAAATTTATCAGCATTAAAATTATAGAAATAAAAAGTTATATCTTTAAACACCCGCCGGAGGGGGGGGGGGAGGATAGATAAAATAAGTATTTACCCTGTACTTGTGAACATGTAATGTCGACAGCCAAACCTCAGTAATGAAGTGAAATGCTTCCCAACCAAAGGCCTATGGCATAAAAATTATTATGCCAAATCTCAAAGCTCAGAAGTATTGCTTCCCAAATACCCATTTCAGAGTATTGGCAAAGAGAGCGTTTTCCGAGACTCCAACCTTGATTACTCAACGATTCTCGTATTAAGGGAAGTAATCTCAAATCACTACTAGGCAAAGCTTGATATTAACATGTTTACAATCACAAAGGTAATCAAAAAATAATCTCTCCTAAAAAACAAAACAAAAATACCTTGCAAAACCCTTACAGATCTAATACAATAAAATCAAATCGATTACAAGATAAATATTTGCAAATTATATCAGATTAAAGAGATACAGTGAGCTTAGATATTAACTGAATGATACGTATATAAGGACATATTACAGAAACTGGAACGTATTACAGAAATTGGACGATAGTACCTCAACGAGACACAGAAATTATGGAAACGCAGTGGCCGTGCTGTAAGATGATAGCAGAAGTGAAAATGTTTAGCTAGGGGTTTTTATATCATTTTTCGAATGAAATTCAATGGCTGGGATTAGCATGTTATGAGAATTATCGTCCGTTGGATGGACAATTGGTTACTAGGGTTAGGGTTTTCTGTATAACGCCGCTCCGGAAGCAATTGAAAACATTATGTGGGCTTATAGTACTCCAGTATTGGGCTTGGAATTTTTCTAATCTTATTGGGCTGCCGTTGACATTTTCATGTAGGACTGAGCATAGTTCTGAGAAATTAAATTGATTCTACTAAACTTCATTTATTTCTTTATTGCATTCAGAAAGCAAATTAAATTCTAATAAAAAATAATTAAAAACAGAATTAATATAGTGAAATATCATATACTAATCGGTTGGATTTGAATTTCATTTTAAAATTTTTCTCTTTTTTTTTTTTTTGATTGGTTGGGCCTCTAATTTTATATGAACATAAGGTGGGCCAAAACCCACTTAATTCAATCAAATGTTAGTTCAACAAGACCGTAGCAATTGGGCTTCTTAGGTTGGCCCAACAACTGAAGATTTAGGTCCATCTGGGAAAAGGCGTTCGGCTTAACCCACTTATACAGGTAGTAACTGATCTATACCTAACAACTAACTTTAATCTATTTTATATGAATTTTGGTCAGCAGCTGGAGTTGACAGAAATCTCCATTAGTACTTCATTCCATCAGCTGGAGTTTTGGAACTTCCTTTTTCTTTTTCTGTTAGATTTAGATTCAATTATCCTTATAAAAACAATCACTAACAAGTTTTTTAATATTCTTTTATTTATATAACACATTAAAATATAAAATAAAATATTTACCTCAAAGAATAAAAAATAATAATGTATAATAACGTTTAAACATAATAGTACCATAATTATCATTTTATATCTTAACAACAATTATCAAACAATAAATATTTACGAGCTAATAGCTATCAACCATCCGCAATTGTTATCAACTATAAATTATTGTTAGGAATAACTTAAAATAATATTATTAAAAATATTTTGAGATTTTAATTTTATTTAGTGCAGATTTTCTGCATAGAATTTGATATTTTTAGGAGTATTTTTAGGTCTTATTTGATTCACTTGTAAGCCTATAAATAGATATATCGTTTTGTTAATTTAATGAAGTGCTAAAAACATTGTTAATCATCTTGTGCATTTTCATTCTTCCTTCCCTAAAAACTTAATATGGTATCAGAGCCTTGGATCCGAACCTGCATGAGAGAAGTTCCCTTCTGGGTCGTACCATGGTATCAGAGCCTGTCTGTTAAATGGCCACAAACACTATTCCATTTTCTTCCCTTCCAATTTTTGTTGGTGAAAATTATCAGCTATGAGCTGTTAAAATGAAAGCTTATTTAAACTTAATCTGGTTACATCAGAGCCTTGGATCCGAACCTGGCATGCAGAGAAGTTCCCTTCTGGGTCGTACCATGGTATCAGAGCTGTCTGTTTAAATGGCACAAACCTGGCCACAAACACTATTCCATTTTCTTCCCTTCCAATTTTTGTTGGTGAAAATTATCAGCTATGAGCTGTTAAAATGAAAGCTTATTTACAAGCTTATGACTTATGGGAGCATGTTGAAACAGAAAAAGAAATCCCTCCACTGCCATCCAACCCAACTATGATTCAAATTAAGAATCATACGAAGAAAAAGCCAAAAAATTCAGAGCAAAAACCTGCCTTCATTCTTCTGTTTCGGATATAATTTTCACAAGTATTATGATTTGTGAAACAGTAAAGGAGATATGAGACTTATTAAAAAATGAGTATCAAGGCAACGAGCCGACGAAATTGATACAAGTTTTGAATCTTAAAAGAGAATTTGAGGAGATGCAAAAATGGAAAACAATCTGGAGGTGTCAAATGAAATAGGTTTCACAATCTCGATGTTCAATTATTACAATAATTTAGGTTAATTGGTGAGGAATTCTCTGAAAGTGGTTGAAAAATATTCTAATAAAAGTCTACCCGAAAAATTTAGTCAAAAATTTCTTTCTTCTGAAGCACACAAAAAATCTTTTCTGAAATTTCAGTTGGTGAACCTAACTAATGCACAGTACAAGTTGTGGAGCAATTGGAGAGCATTTAGAGAAAAAATAATACTATAGAGGCGCTTTTTTGTCTGCCAGACAACGAAACAAATTTTTTTATTCAAAATTTTATCAAAAAGAGGAAAATTTCCACCATGTGGCATATGCAAGAAAGATAATCATGATGAAAATGATTGTTGGCATAAAGGTAAACCTCAATGTTTTAATTGTAAGAAATTTGGTCATACTCAAAACGATAATAGGTATAAAAATCAATCAAATTTTGTGCAAGAGGAAGGAACTCTTCTTTGAGTATTGGAGAGATGTGCTCCAAGAGAGCATTGGAGAGATGTGCTCCAAAATAAAAAAAGTGATAAGAGGTGCATCAATATTTGAAGAGAAGTGCTTCAAAAAAAAAAAAAAAAAAAAAAAAAAAAAAAAGAAACAATTAAAAAATTCATTGCTAAGTTTGAATGAGAAGTGGCCATCAATATTTGGTGAGAAAGGTGCATCAAAATTGATGAAGTTTGGAGAGATGGTGCTTCCAACAAAGTTTAATTGAAGAAGAGGTGCTTTCAAAATGCTAGATTTTAATTATTAATTATATAATAAAAAATATTATGTTTGAATTAAGAGAGAATGTTTAGGAAAATATTATGTTTGAATTAAGAGAGAATGTTAGGATTAATTCAAAATAATATTATTAAAAATATTTTGAGATTTCAATTTTATTTAGTGCATATTATTAAAAATATTCTGCATAAAATTTGATATTTTGTTATTAAAATTAATGATTTTTAGGAGTATTTTTAGGTATTATTTAATTCACTTGTAAACCTATAAATAAATATATCCTTTTATTAATTTACGAAGTGCAAAAACATTGTTCCTTCCCAAAAAAATTTAACAATTATTAGCAATTGTTAATAGCTATCCATCAATATTTATGTTTCTCGTTTTTCACGAGTAACGTCATCGACATACATGTTCATTGATGAAACATTATGCGAATAATTACATCAACACATCAAATTAATTCCCTACGTCATACCGAATGTTTAAAAGCTTCTTTACAATTGATTTTACTATGATTAGGTAAGGATAAGATATGGAGATTCTTGTTATTATTAGGGTTGAGAAAAATAAGCATATTCCATTGACCATAGAGAGGATTTCCAACACATGGACTTCAAACCAGAAATTTAGTATAAGATGCTCCCACTACCTAAACTTTTTAAGATTTCAATGAAAATTTCAACTACCCTTTAAAGATTTTAATCCATATTTTATAAACTAATAAAAGGGAATATAGTGAATATATGCTTTGAAAGCATCCAAAATTACATATTTTAAAGTAAAAAAAAAATATTTATATATGTGTGTGAGGTAATAGCTATAAGTGACAATGATATCCAAAAGAGAGAGTGGACAAAGCCACTTGAATATGACATGGATTTCCACCAATTTAAAAAAACAAAATTCAATCCTATAATGTCAAATATGACATGATATAATTATCAATTCTAGGGTTTCTTTCATAGCTACTATATGTTATCTTGTTCATCCTTTTCTTGCAAAAATATTCATCACCCCCCTTTAGTGTCCCTAAGGAGAAAAGGAATATGATCATGTCTAAGAAAATGTAAATTTGAAAAATTATGTTGTCAATTTAAAGTCTAGATTGATAAGAGTTCAATTCCATGTGTTCACTCAAACTTAGAGAAAAAAAAAATTATATAGATGTGTATAATTAAACACTTGCCTATGTAATGCATTGGAAAGTAATAGGGAAAGTAAAAAATGTTAAGTAGTTAGGTGCGGTTTGATTGGTCTTGTTATATTTTAATTATAGACAATATAAAAAGTGAAAAGCTTTGAATTTATATCGTTTACACCGTAATTGGATTTCACCTCTTATTGCAAACTTTCTTGAAAAGCCAAAAAAAAAAAAAAAAAAAAAAAAACTTTCTTGAAGCCAAAAAAAAAAAGAAAAAAAAAAAAAAAAAAAAAAAAAAAAAAACGATAATATAGTTTTTCTTCTACCATTATAATATTTCAATGTGTATGCGTGTATAATTTTAGCATTGATAAATTGTGTACCTGCAAATTCCAAATGTCATTGATTTAAAGGGAACGTCTTTATTTAATTATAAGGCAGAAGGCAACAAAATTCAGTAGATTAAGTGGATCCATGTGTTTCTTCTTACACTGCCAACTTTGACAGATGCAGTATATAAGATCTTTAGCAAGAAAACATTGCATCAAAATACAGTATCCAAGACATGATTCTCAAAAGTGATATTGGTCTGCTTGAAATTTATATTATTGAAACAAAAGTTAGGTAATAAAAATTATAAATCAAACAAAGGACAAAAATTTTGCAGATTATGAGGCATTTTGCATGCACTTTGACATTGTTAATTACAAATTTCCAAAGATTTTGCGCACTTAAATGAGTTTTTGTCTTGTTTCTTTACATATCTATGTGGAGTTGTACTTTTGAGGAGTGGGTTTCTTTTCATTTTTATTAAAAGGTTTTGAAAAACCAAGTTCCTAATTTTCATTAGTAACCAATAAACTTTAGACCCAAACTAGTTAAAAATACATTAGAATTTAAACATTATGATGTGATTGACTTCAAAAAATACCGATTCGTATTTTTTTTTTTTATGGATTTTAAAGGGCTCAATATATAAATTCACTCATCATTTTTGCAACTTTAACCTTGTGCCACTTTGAACCTTGCGAATGACTTATCGTGCACTGAACTTGTAAATTTTTCTAATATTATACACATTTTGACACTAATATCAATAGTTTTTACGATTTTTGGCTTTTATCCGTAAAATATCGACTTGATATCGTTAGCATGAATTTTAGGCCAATAATTTTTATAAATTTTAATTTTTTAATTTCGACTTGAATCGTTAGCATGAATTCTACTAGGCCAATATTTTTATACATATTTTAATCTTTTTTAAATGAGTGTTTAGCTTTTATCCGTAAAATATCGACTTGATATCGTTAGCATGAATTTTAGGCCA